TAGGGATCCTCCTGGTAGAGATGGTAATTAAGGGGAGGGTTTAGGGGGAAAGATAATGATTCGGTTTTGACTGTGTTGAGTTTAAGATGTCTACCTGGCATTTGGAAATTCGAGATTGCAGGTCTGTAGAGGGCTTAGGGTAGGATAAGTAGCTTTGAGATTCATCAGCATAGAGATGGTAATTAAATCTGGGAGACTGAGGAGCAGTGTTTATCAAAATGCCATAGTAGGCATTTAATTAATTGGTGATTGATTGATTGCTCACCAAGTGAAGTGGTATAGAGGGAGAAGAGAAGAGAGCCCAGCACAGAACCCTGTGAGATACCGAAGGTTAGAAGATGTGATCTGGAGAGGATCCGGTACAGGACAGGAAAAAGGAGCAGTCTGATAAGAAGAGAGAGGGAGTGGTGTCTCAAAAACCTAGAGAGAAGAGAGTATCAAGGAGAAAAGAGTGACCAATAGTGTCAAAGGATGCAGAGAGGTCAAGAAGAATGAAGATTGAGAAAAGGCCAATTGGATTGGATTTGGCAATGAAGAGGTCATTGGACAGAGCAGTCTTAGTGGAATGATAAAGTCAGAAAGGGTTAAGAAGTGATTGAGAGGAGAGAAAGTGAAGGCATCTATTGTAGATGCCTTTTTAAGGACTTTAGCCACAAAGGGCAGAAGAGAAATAGAGGATGTAAGGATCAAGTGAGGTGGTTTTTTTTTTTTCAGGATGGGGGAGTCTTGAGCATATTTGTAAGCTGTAGGGAAGGAACCAGTAGAGAGGGAAAGATTGAGAATAAGTGAGAGTGGGGATGCCAGACGGGGCAATCTGTTCCGATGAGGCAGGATGGAATGGGATCACTTGAACAAGCAGCCTTGGTACTGAGTAAGGCCACACCTTTTCACACGAGACTGGCGTGAAAGAGGGGTGAGTGGCAGAAAGAATTTAAGTCATAGGAGATAAGGAAGAGTGGGAGAAGAGGAAGTTCACAGTAAATGGCCTCAATTTTATCTGTCAAATATGAAGCCAGGTCTCAGCTGAGGGGCAGCGGTGTCAGGGGCGGGGGGGGGGGGGGAAGCTGTGGGCGTTTTGTGGAAGGATGAAAAGGTTCAGAAGAGCTGCTGTGGATTGTGGGAGAGTTGCTAACCTGGCTGACTGCTCCCTATTCTCCTTTGCAGGCCCCTCACCATGTCCTTGCATGTACCCTAAGGCCCTATTTCGGGCCTTGCCTTTCTATTCACAGTGACCTCATCAGCTCCTATGGGTTTCATTTTCTCTAGACAGATGACTCTCAAGTCTCTGTCTCCAGTCCTACATCACCAGCTGCCTGTTGAACATTTCCAACTGGATGTCTCACAAACATCTTAAACTAAACATAAATATATAATAAATATTAAAATATATAATATATAAATAAATATATAATACATATAAAATATATGTATAATAAATATAAAATAAAAGAGACCATACTATTTTTCTCCCCAACCCTATTTATGTCAAGGACATTTTTCTAATTTCCTGGGTTCAGAACCTCAATTCCTCATTCTCTCCTCTCTTATAGCCTTTCAGTTGCTAAATCCTATTCTTTCTACCTTAACATCCATTTCCTCACTTCTCACATAGCTACCACCTAAGTTCAGGCCTCTATTACCTCTTATCTGGACTATCGAAGTAGCCACCCAGTTGGTGTCCCTGCCTGTAGTCTTTCTCCCCTCTAATCTATCCACCACACAGCTGCCACACTGATGTTTCTAAAGGACAAGTCTGACTCTATCATCCCCTGAATTATTCTTTTTGACTTTAAAAAATAAGGTTTTGTTGATATGTTTTGTTTCTTCCTCTTCCCCTTCCCTTCCCCAAGAGCTATCCCATATGAAAAATGGTATTTTTTAAGAGAGGAGTTTAAAAAAAAAAGTCAGCACAGTCACATGATTGGTACATTGAGAAAGCCTGAAAATCCGTGTAATGTGTAAGACCTGTGGAGCCCACCCCCCCTCCACAAAGGGGAAGGTTGAGGGTGTCTTCTATCTCTGTATGGAGTCCCACTTGATCTTTTTGGTTTTGTTATGTTTACTTTTGATTTTTTGATGTGTCCTTGTTCTTTCCACTTACATTTTTATAGTTCCTGTGGATATTTTTTCTTGGTTCTGTTATGGCAATTCACAAAAGCTTTTTCCATGCTTCTCTGTACTCATCACCTGTCATTTCTTACAGCCCAGAAATATTCCATGACATTCACATACCACACTTTGTCTAGCCGTTGCCCAGTTGATGTGCAATTTGTTTCCAATTCTTAGCTGTCACAAAAAGTGCTGTTACGAATATTTTGAAGTAGATGGTGACTTTCTTCTTCTTTTTTTTTTTTGGCTAGGCAATGGGGTTAAGTGACTTGCCCAGGGTCACACAGCTATTAAGTGTTATGTGTCTGAGACCAGATTTGAACTCAGGTCCTCCTGACTCCAGGGCCAGTGCTCTATCCACTGAGCCACCTAGCTGTCCAACTTTTTTTCTTCTTGATGGCTTTGTTGTTGTTGAGTCGTTTTTCGGTCGTGTCCAACTCTTTGTGACCCCATTTGAGGTTTTCTTGCCAGAGATATAGAGTGGTTTGCCATTTCCGTCTCCAGCTCATTTTACAGATGAGGAAACTGAGGCCAGCAGAGGTTAAGTGAATTGCCCAGGGTCACACAACTAGTAAATCTGAGGCTGGATTTGAACTCAGGAAGATTAGTTTTCCAGACTCTGGGAGCTCTATCCATTGCAGTGACACCTAGCTGCATTTATTGATGACTTCCTTGGGGTATAAGCCCAGTAATGGGGCTTTATTTTAAAGGTTATGGACATTTTTGTCACTTTATTTACATAATTCAGTTTGCTTTCCAAAATGGTTATACCATTTCACAGTTCCACCTACAATGTATTAGTGTGTATTGCCGTTTTTTTGTCTTTTTTTTTGCCAATTTGCAGGGTATGAAGTCAAACCTCAGGGTTGTTTTGATTTGTATTTCTTTTATTATTAGTGATTTGGTGTTTTTTCATGTGGTTGTGAATACTTTTCAGTTCTTTTGATCACTGAATATCCTTTGACCATTTGTCTATTGGTGAATGGCAAATGGCACTATATATATATATATATATATATATACATATATACATATACAGAGAGACACAGAGAGAGAGAGACAGACAGAGACAGAGAGACAGAACAGGGAATCACAACTTCATGAAACTTACATGAAAACTAGGTTTATTACAAGATAAATGAACATGCATGTGGAGTTCACAATCCATACAGAAGTTTGCCTTTTTATAACAGCAGGACAAAGGAAGGAGAAAACACAAATCTCTACTTAAAGGGGAGTAGCATGGGAGGAGAGAAAGAGCAGTAGGAGTGGGAAAAAGATAAAACCTCTCCTGGAGGGGAGGAGCCAAGTAATAGCAAAAGCCATTCTTTTCCCTTGGGAGCTGCTAGACCATGAAGATAGGGTGGTCTGCTTATCTACACAGGTTTCAGCTGCACAGGCAATTTCCCGGTCTAATGCAGACTGACTGGCACCTGTTTTGACTCCCAAGGATACACAGGGAGTCCAGTTTAGGATGCAAACAACAAATTTTGTCAGCTGCGGGGGAGGCTTCGTTCTTGACACATTCAGGGCCTCCTGCATACTCTGGGTCCAGCATTTCTGAAAAATATGGCAACTCAAAAAGACAAGTTCAGGGAACCCCTTAACATTATTCAACTACACACACACACACACGCACACACGCGCACACACATGCACACACACACATATACATGCACACGTACACATACACATATCTTCCATACCAAACCCTTATCAGAGAAATTTGATGCAAAGATTTTTTTCCCATTCAGCCACTTGACTTTTTATGCTAAATGAATTAGTGTTGTCTATGCAGAACCTTTTCAGTTTCAAGTAATCAAAGTTATCTGTTTTATCTTTGTAATTGCCTCCACCTCTCATGTGGTTAAGAATAGATCTCTTACCTATAGCTGTAAGAGATACATGATCTGTTTCTCTTCTAATTTTTTTTATAGTATCATCTTTAATATTAAAGTCACATGGGGCATCTAGGTGGCACAGTGGATAAAAGCATCGGCCCTGGATTCAGGAGGACCTGAGTTCAAATCTGCCCTTAGACATATAACACTTACTAGCCGTGTGACCCTGGGCAAGTCACTTAACCCCATTGCCTAGCCAAAAAAAAAAATTATTAAAGTCACATCCATTTAGAAGGTATTATGGAACAAAGTATATGGTACTGGTCTAAGGCGAATTTTTGCCAAACCACTTTCCACTTTTCCCAGCAGTTTTTAATCAGATAAGGAATTTTTTCCTAGATAATTAATGTTTTCCACATTTTCAAACGCTGGGTTATTGAGTTTCATTGTTTTCGATGCTCTCTTGTTAGATGTTCTATTGATCTATATCTCAGGTTTTTTTTACCAATACTAGATGATTTTGATGATTTGTTTTATAATATAGTCTGAGATCTGGAAGAGCTGTTTCCTTTTTGTCTTTCTTTTCATCATTTGCCTTGATATTCTAGATCTTTTGTTTTTCCAAATGAATTTTGTTATTATTTTATCAAGCTCTATAAAGTATACTCTTGGTAATTTGATATGGCATTAAGGCATTTTTTTTTTGATAGTTTTGTCATTTTTATTATGTTGGCGTGATCTAGCCATGAGCACTGAATATTCTTCTAGCTATTTAGGTTGTCTTTTATTTCTTTAATAACTTGCAATTGAATCTATGTCTTTTGTGTGCTTTGAGAGGTTGCTCTCCAGATATTTTATGCATTTTATAGTGATTTGGAATGAGAAGAGGTCTTAAGGACACACCAGTGTTAAAGATGGTCCTTGGGCAGAGCCCCACCAGGGTGGGGAGTGGGCAGCAACTCTGCCCCCCATATAGGGTAGAAGAAGACATGGGAAAGTGGCAGAGGTCCTCATCACCACTCTCTTGAAAGTGGACCCGTTAGATAGCAGAGGGGAATAATGATAGAAGTGGGCTGAATTGGTGATGATTGGGGATGGTAATGTTTATGATTCAGAAAGTGTCCCCTTACGGTCCTTCTGGGGAATGCCTTTGTGCTTGGCCATTAGAATAACCATTTTATATAATAAACGCTTGTTGTCTGACTACTATGGGTTTTTGTGCATTGTTCCCTCTTGTGAACTTTCTCTGTTCTAAAGAATGCTTAAAAGGAAGTAACAGCATTTTGATGCTTATTTTGAGGAAAAAAAACTCAGGCAATTTGTCTGCAAAACTTAGATTTCTTGCATTGGATGAAATGGGATTATTTTCTTTAAAAAAAAAAAGCCAACAGCAAAAAAAAAAAAAAAAAGGAAGAAAGCAGAACCAAAATGCCTTATGCTAAAAGTCTTAGTGCAGGTTTAACCTTTAATAAACTTCAGAAATAGAAATGCTACAAAATTACAAAAAGTTATTTGAAAGTTTAATAATTTAGGGGCAGCTAGGTGTAGCAGTAGCTAGAGCACCGGCCCTGAAGTCAGGAGGACCTGAGTTCAAATCTGGCCTCAGACTAACACTCGACATTTACTAGCTGTGTGACCCTGGGCAAGTCACTTAACCCTAATTGCCTAAAAACTTAAAAAAAAAAGTTTAATAATTTAAATTTATAAAAAGAGCTCCCCTCTCCCTAAAATTTAACAATTGGATGAAAAAATTGGACTGGTTCAATTCATGACAAGCCTAGATCCAAGAGCTATTGAGCCATGCTTTAATAACTTCAGAAGTATAAATGGGGGGCAGCTAGGTGGCGCAGTGGATAGAGCACCGGCCCTGAAGTCAGAAGGACCTGAGTTCAAATCCGGCCTCAGACCAAACACTTGACACTTACTAGCTGTGTGACCCTGGGCAAGTCACTTAACCCCAATTGCCTTTAAAAAAAAAAAGTATAAATGCCACAGACTTAGAAAAAATAACATTTGAAAGGTTAATTGTTTAAAATATTGACATGTTTCTCAATAAAATTCAGCATAACCACCATTTTGTGTTATGCCTTGTTCTAGATGATTTTTGTGTTTTGTGAAAATTTTCTTCAACTCCTATTCATTCAAAGGATTGCATTTGTAATCCTACCCGTAAAGTCATTCAAAGAACGACGTTTTGATGCATACAGACAATTTTGACATGACCCTGGCCACACTGGAAAAAGTCTAATAAAGACAAATCAGGTGTCCAAGTTGGCCCAGCAAGATGGCATCCTCTACAGATCCACTGGTCTGAGATACTGTCATCCAGAAAGTGTCACTCATACAATGCATAATGACAAGGTGTCCTGTTTTGTTGAAAAATGGGTGTTATTCAATAGGTGTAACCTCTGCAGCTTGAAAAAGAAAAAATTTGGAAGCACTGCTGAGTTAAGATCCACTGTTGACTGTAGACCTTTCAAAAAAGAAAAGGCAAAGTATATTAATGGTGTGCCAAACACGAACTTTTGGGGAGTCTCTTGTTGCCAGACTCCTTGAGACTTTTCTACACCCCAAATGTTGCAGTTGTGATGGTTAACTTTGCCACTTATGTGGAAAACTGCCTCACCAGAAAATGTCACCTTGTCATGTCTGCCATTGGAATTTTTCATTTTTGATGTCATTAGTTGACAGCGGTCTAACTTTGTCTAGAAATCTTCTCTTAGGAACATTTGAACAGTTGTAACCTTGTCTATTGGAATTCTGTGCATCGTGGCCTTGGGAATGCTCAATTCAGCAAACACGCAGTGCACTGATTTTTGGAGGGACTGTGTCCAAATGCCGTCTCGGTTTCAGCCACAGTCTTTGTATGTGCTTGATATCTCTTGGATCTAGGCTATTCATGAATTGAGCCAGTTTCCTTTAATATTTTCATTCAATTGTTAAATTTCTGTGGGGAACCTCCTTTTTATAATGGGAAGTGAATTTTCTCCTTATTGCTGTTTGGCTAACCAGAGAATGCAGTTGACTTTTTCTTCATTGTCCTCTTCAGAGGGACTGAAACAAAAATTAACTTAATTTCAATGAAAAATTCATTATTCAAAATTTTTAAAACTAAATAAATTTTAAATAAAATTAAATAATTAAAATTTAAAATGATTAAAATTTTTTTTGGTCTCATTTCTACTTCTGAAGTTATTAAAGCGTAAAACTGCACTAGGTGACGCTGCAGTGGATAGAGTACAGGGCCTGGAATCAGGAAGACTCATCTTTGTGAGTTCAAATCTGGCCTCAGTCACTTACTAGTTGTGTGACCCTGGGCAAGTCACTTAACCCTGTTGGCCTCAGTTTCCTCATCTGTAAAATTAATTGGAGAAGGAAATGGAAAACCACTCTAGTATCTTTGTCAAGAAAACCCCAAATGAGGTCACAAAGAGTCAGACATTACTGAAAACTGCCTGAACAACAACAAAACTGCAGTAAGATGTTTGGAACACCCAATATTTCACTTGTATTCAACTTGTACCCACACATTATTTTAAAAATAATTTCATATTTCCTTTCATAAATTTAAAATATGGATGATTAAAAAGTTGTTTTTAGTTTTAACTTGCTTTTTCACTTTTATCCATCAACAAACATTTATTAGGGGCTTGTTTTATGGCATCAGTTTCTCCCCTCTTGTACTAGTGGCTCTTTGCCCCACCACAATTCAGTGACCCATTATAGAATGAATGGGAAACATTTTGTTTTCCTATGGTATCTGCTTATGAATCAAGATGCTCCATTTTTTTCTCTCTTCTCCACTCCCCACCCGCCCATTTATTCTTTTTTTTTTTTAAATAGTAGAGATGTTCAGAGTGACTATCTTTCTTTATATCTTAAAACTTCATTGTCAAATCTTCTAACTGAACTGCTTCATCCTTTGAACACTCTCTATTTTCCTGGGCTCTTCTTATGGACCCTCACCCCCCCAGCCTTTTTTTTTTCTTTTCCAGCCAAAGACAAGGTTTATTAGAACACTGATTGGGGTGCGTGAGATTCCTAGTGAGTCTGTGCTATTGGCTAGATTTTAAGAATCTGAGCCCCAGCCTTTTTTTTTTTTTAAAGCTGGTAACTATTGATACTACAATTTACCTTGTCCTTTTGCTCGCTTCCCTTCCCCCCACCCAATGTCAAGCTGTATGTTTAGGTTTCTTTCCACATGAATCTTGTGTTTGTTTAATGGTGTCCTCAGTAAATCTTCCCTTTCCTTAAGGGCTTCTCTTCTGACAACATACTGATTCTTGGCTTGTGCTTGGCAGGCAGGGGCCCAGTTTATCCCCTATGGAACAGGAAAGGATCTTGGCACTTCTAAGAGCAGAAGTGGAACGGTTATCCAGCGAGCTGCAGGAGACAACCCAGGAGAAAGTCCAGGCCGCGACATATGGCCTGGCAGTGCTTGAGGAAAATGCTGATTTGAAACAGAAATATGGGGACTTGGAAACGGAGCTAGAGTCCCATAGGCTGGAACTGCATCAACTGAAAGAGGTAAACAGGATGTTAACAGCGACTCAGAGCCATCAGTGGCCCCCAGGGGAGGTGCCTTACTGAGACCTGACAAGGCTAGCTCTGTCTATGCTTCTTTTCTGGATCTCTCTTCCTTTTTTGGAAAAAAATGAAAAACAGACAACTCCACTCCCCTCCCCCCCCCAAAAAGCTTTCTTTAGCTAACCACTTTGATTAATTCTCTTTGCTGAATTCTTTAAATATATTTAATTTATATATAGAGGTGTTTTTTGAGGAAGGGAGTGGTTAAGATTTTTATTTTATCAACTAAATTGTGAGCTCTTTAAGGATAGAGACAGTGCCTTAGAATTCCATAAAATAGTGCTGGGTTTTTAGCTCTTAACCATTCTTGTCTCTTCTTCTAGTATAAGACACATCATAGGTGTTCAATAACCACTTGCTGACTAGTGCAGCAAAAGTATTTCAGTCATTGGAAAAAGTCATGTTATTTGAGAAGAAACATCCCTCTGGGTTACAATTTAGTATTCATATGTCCTACATTACAGTGTCTTAGTTGTAAATCCCATTTCTAGTCTGCCTCCAAAATGGCTATCTTCTCTGTCCATTCTAGGCATTAGCAGAATGTCATAGCAACCATAAGCGGGCCACATTTGATGGAGAGAACAGAGAAGAATGCTTACTGCTAGAAACCGCTTCCAAGGAGGCAAAGCTGATGGAGAGAATTGAAGAGTTGCAGAACGACATTAAACAAATGAGATTTCTTGTGACTAATACATCGGCAGAAAATGATCGCCTTTCTTCCATAATCCAGGAGCTGAGAAAGGTGTGTGTCCGTATGTCTCTTGCTTCCCAGGGTGTATGGGCCCCATTCCAAGCTTGTGTGGGGGATAGTTTATATATTTCCAACACACTTCCATTGAGTGTTCCCATTATGAAGTACCTTGCTTGCTTAATCAATAAGCTTTAGCTCCCCAGATCCTAACCAAGAAAAGAAAAGAAAGTCATACAGAAGAGTCTGAGAACAACCAAAATAGAAGTCATTTAGGTCATGACCTAAAATACGTATACTTTATATAAATGAAGAGGCACTCATGGAAAACCTAATAATGGTAATTTTAAATAAAATTTAGCAGCTTTATAAGAGTAGGGAGGAGACAGAAAAATAAACATGCCAAAAGACACAAGATCAAAAAAAAAATCCCTCCGCAGTGAATAGAGCTCTGGCCTTGGAGTCAGGAGGCCATGAGTTCAAATCCAGACTCAGACACTTAACACTCACTAGCTGTGTGACCCTGGGCAAGTCACTTAACCCTGATTGCCTCACCAAAAAAAAAAAGAAAAAAAAAGATCCCTCCAAAAGCCCCATTTAATGAAGAAGCAAATGACCCTATATACCACAATGGCCTTTGAGTGTATCTTGCATCACAGCCTGGAATGATAATTGGTGCTTAAGAAAAAGGAAAATGGCCTTGGGAGTCAGGAGAGACCTGGGCTTGAATTCTGGCTCTACTATCTTTGAACTGTGTAACTCTGGTCAAGTTACTTAAGGACCTCTATACCTCAATTCCCTAACTTATTAAATAGGGGTAACAGTGCCTCCTCATAGGAGTGTCATGAAGACAGTCCATAGGAAGTTATCAAATACCATATAAAAGAATTGTTCTTAAGAAAAAGTTTAATTCTGTTTGAAATCTTCTGTTTGCACACAAATCCTCTGCTGGCTTAGTTTTAGAATTAAGTTTTAGATTTTCATCAAAATGATGAAAATAGGAGGCTAACAAAGATGACAGCATAAGAAGAAACATATAGCCCAGCTGGCTCCCACAGTTGCTCCAACAAACGTCAAGAAAGTACACTTAGCACCAGGCTGCAGAAGGTCATTTTTTCAGCACAGAGAGATAGCCAGAGGCCTGTGAGCACTGGGGAGGCAGTCCAGTCAGCACGGTCCATACAGAGCCTTCTTTCAGATGGAATGAGGTTGGGACCTGAAGCTGTATCAGCCTGACCACAGAACAGTGTTGAGGAAAAGTAGAAACTAGGCCCTGAATCTGTGGACCAAGGCAGGGAGTGTGGACCAGGGGGGAGCCTCTAGCTCTGTTTCTCTGACTGTGGAGCAAGATTGTGATTCAGTTCATAGGCCTGCAGCTGAGTAATCAAAATGGTGAACAGAGACCAGGGACAAGCCTGCAGTTGTATTGCTCAGAATCTGCACGTTCTTCCAGCTAGCTGACGGGCTGAGGCTAGCAGCTGTCTACTGGAGCTTCAACCAGAGGCAAGCCTGCAATTGTGTTGCTCAGAAGAGAACATGTGGCGAGAACTGAAAGTTGGCAATTCCCTGGTCTGAACTGCTTTTAGTGTCCTTGAAAAATACAGCATTCAGTACCTGGAGAAGCAGTGTCAGGAACCCAGAGAATACAATTTGGGTCCAAACAAGGGCCTAATCTTCTCTCCAGAACTGTGTAGAGCCTGGCCCTCACACAAAGTCTCAATTCAGGAAGTAAGGCTGGAATGAGTAAATAAACAAACAAAAACTCTCATTATAAAGAGCTGTTATGGAGCCAGAGCCACCTAAGACACCAACTCAGAACAAGAGAAGAACATCACAACATACGTAAGCCAAAGCCTCAAAGAAAAATACAGCTTGGCCCCCAACTAAGCAACAAAGTAGAAATTTTGAAAATTAAAGAATAGATTAATAAAATTGAAAGCAAAAGACCGTTGAATTAGTTAATAAACTTGGAGCTGTTGTTTTTTAATCTAATAAAATAAACAACTAATCTTATTTTTTCAAAAAGTGGGAAAAACCAAATAATTGGTATAAGAATGAAAAAGTATAGGTAAATGGTCAAAGAATAGGAGCAAACAGTTTTCAAAGGAAGAAATCCAAACTATCACCAATCATATGAAAAAAATGCTTCAAATCACTAATAATTAGGGAAATGCAAATTAAAGCACATCTGAGGTTCCATTTCACACTCATCATATTGGTAAAGATGACAGAAAGGTAAAGGACAAATGTTGGAAGGACTGAGGGAAAACAGGTACACTTGTACATTGTTGGTAAGATTCCCAACTGCTTCAGCCATTTTGGAAAGCAATTTGAAGCTATGTCCTAAAAGTGACTCTAAATGGTGTTTGCCCTTTGACCCAATTATACAGTTTACACCCCAAAGATATCAAAGAAAGAGAAGAAGGATCTGTATGTAAAAAAAAAAAAAAACAAAAAAACAAACAACTTAGGAAAGCTTATTTCAAAGTAGCCAAAAATTGCAATCTAAGGGGGTACCTATTGGGGTATGGTTAAACAAATTATATAGATGAATGTTATGGAATATTACTGTGCCATAAGAAATGATAAAGTGGACATTTCAGAGGAAACTGAAAAGACCTCTGTGAACTGATGCAGGGTGAAGTCAGCAGAACTAGGAGAATGATTTACACATTGACAACAACATTATAAAAAATAAAACAACTTGAAAAGATTTTAGACTTCTGATCAATACAAAGATAAGCCATGGGTCCAGAAACCTGAAGGTAAATCATACCAACCACCTGCTTCCAAGGAGGTGATGGAGTTAAAGTGCTTGAATGAGACATTTTTAGACATGGCGAGTGTGGGAACTTGTTTTGTTGGACTATGCATATTTCTTTATGATAATTTTCTTTTTCCTTTTTTTAATTGATGATCTTGAAGAAAGAAAATGGAGGGGAAAAGGAGTATACTAAGGAGGAAGGGTAGGAGAATTTAGTATCTCACATGATCAGGGTGCATATGATTATAAAAATGAGGAAGGGGGTGGAGGGAATGAGTATTACTTAAATTTCATTTTCATCTGAACCAATCTGAGAATGTTGGAATGAAAACAGACACAGACACACAGACACACACACATACACACACACACACACATACACACACACATGGAGTTTGGTATGGAAGTATATTTAAGACTGAGTGTGGTGGACCACTCCTGTAATCCCTCCTAACCAGGAAGGCTGAGGCTAATGAGCTTGAGCTCAAGAATTTTGAGTTGCGGTGGAGCTACAGCCTATCTGATGTCTGTAAGTTCAACACCAACGTGGTGAGTCCCAGGGAGTGGAGGGCTACTGGGCTGCCTAAGGAGGGGTAAACCACCACAAAACTCCTATGCCAATCAGTAGTGGGATTGGGCCTGTGAGTAGCTGCTGTATTTCCAGCCTGGGTGAGTTAGGGAGACCTGTTATCAAACAAACACACAAATATTTAACTCAGTAAACAAATAGTAAGTGGCAGTAGGGTCGGGGTGGGAATAAGAAGGTGGATGAACTGCAATATGGATTAGTCATAAGCAAGACAAACTTCAGACTCAGAGTATTATTGGGGAGGGAGGGTGTCAAAAAGCAAAAGGAAAGAAAGTGTAAAAACTTGTGATGGTGTATAGACAAAGGGCAGCAGAATGCATCAAGCAAAGGTCACTAGTACTGAGTGTGCCTTCTCTCTCACTGCCGCCTTTGTAAAGAGTAAGGCAGCATGGGTGGGCTGAGCTAATATAATAAAAATGACAATTCTACCTAAACTAATCCACTTATTCAGTGCCATCCCAATTAAACTACCAAAATTATTATGTTAAATTAGAAAAAATGATAAAATTCATTTGGAAGAACAAAAAGGCAAGAATATCAAAGTAATTAATGGGAAAAAATGTAAAGAAAGAAGTCTAGCAGTACCAGAATTTAAACTATTATAAGGTGTTGATTATCAAAACTATCTGGTACTGGTTAAGAAATAGAATGGTGGATCAGTGGAATAGAGTAAGTATAATTATATAGTAATAAATTATTGTAGGAACCTTGTGTTTGATAAACACAGTGGTTTAAGCTTTTGGGATACGAGCTCACTATTGGGTAAAAATTGCTGGGAAAACTGGAAAGCAGTCTGGCAGAACTAGGTATAGACCAATATCTTATACTATATACCAAAATAAGGTAAAATGAATACATGACCTAGACATAAAGGGAGATATCATAAGTCAATTAGAGGAGCACATTTTACCTCTCAGATTTATGTATAAGAGAAGAATTTATGACTAAACAAGAGATAGAGATCATTATGGGATATAAAATGGATAATTTTGATTACATTAAATTAAAAAGGGGTTGTGCAAATAAAACCAATGTAACCAAGATTAGAAGGAAAACAGAACATTGGGAAAACATTTTTATAACTGATTTTTTGGATAAAGGCCTCATTTCAAATATATAGAGAACTGAGTCAAATTTATAAGAATACAAGTCATTCCACATTTGATAAATGGTCAAATGATATGAAAAGACAGTTTTTGGAAGATGAAATTAAAGCTATATGTATGAAAAATGCTCTAAATCATTATTGACTAGAGAAATGCAAATTAAAACAACTCTGAGGTATCATCTTGCACTTATCAGGTTGGCTAAAATGAGAGAAGGGGAAAATAACAAATATTAGAGGGGATGTGGAAAAATTGAGACATATACACTGTTGGTGGAATTGTGAACTGATCTAACCATTTTGGAGAGCAATTGGAATTATGTCCAAAGACTTATAAAACTGTGTATACTCTTTGACCCAGCAATACTGTTATTAGGTCTGTTTCCCAAGATGATCAGGGAAAAAGGAAAAGAAGTTTTTGTTCGAAAATATTTATAGCAACTTTCTTTTTGGTGGCAAAGAGTTGGAAATTGAGGGGATGCCGATCAATTGAGGAATGGCTGGATAAGTTGTGGCATATAATGGTGATGGAATACAGCTGTGCTGCAAGAAGTGACAAGCAGGTTGGTGTTAGAAAAACATGAAAAGACTTGCAT